TGAAAAACTGAAAAACGTTTTAGCTCCCGAACGCTGAAAACCCAGAAGTAAATGTTCTGGTTTTCAAACATTTTTCAGAAGCCGAACATCTGACGCAGCTTCCGCTTGAGTGCAGGAAGCTCTTGCAACCAACTGGAAGCCGTGCCTCAGTTGTCAAACTTTTTGGAAGCTGAACGGGCTTCCAGAACAGATTACGTTCAACAACTGAGGTTTGACTGTATATCTATCATGTCCATCCTGGAGGTTCAGAGTAACAACACTTTCTCAACTCCATTAGATTCACAATTCTGTGAGAGAGGTTACAATTATTGCTCAAGATTGCCCTCAGTTACCTGAGGGTAACTATATATGGTGGCAATTACACAAGGGCAATTTTTATTGGGGCTACAGAATGCAGGAAGGGGAGTTAAGGCCAGAATTCACCGGATGATAATAGAACACTCCACAAGGAGTTATATACCCTGTAGTAGTTCAGCAGGCTTTACAAACCTGTAGACTTACTGGGTTTCTTTACAACAGCACTCAAATAGTTTCACAACACTGTCTAAAAATAAAACAGCACATGAAAGATCTACTCATAATGAGTGAGTGACGAATATAAAGCCAAAACGTATTCTGTCAAGTGAGTACTCTTTCACATTTCACTCACATGCTTCTCTTTCCACTTCTAAATCCAATCTCCAAAGGTTCACGTAGTCCTCTCTTTGTAGAATCAGCTGCCAATGACATTCAGGAGCCAACCTTGTAGGAAGCACGCAGAAATCAAGCTATCAGGTTAACTAAAGAATGTTTGCAATAACCCTCTAGCTGCCAGAATACAGATCACTTTTACATGTGGATACATGCTCTGAAAATATATAATCTACTGTTTTTCAAAATTAAGACAGCGTGAGCAGTCACAGTTGGTGAAAGTGGTGCCACCATGCTATGTACTGGCTCTCTCCCCCAGTGAAACTTTTGATGCTTACATTTGTTGGTTTACTGGTTCTTTAAATCTTAAAAGCTTTCAGATGATTGACAGACATGCTCTTTGGAGGTCACTTGAGGGGATGAAGATCATCTGAGATCATATGATGAAGTCAGAGTTTTAAGATTCCAGTATTAAGCTCCAGCTTGACTCATATTTTGAGCTGGAGTTAACCCAGGTCTTATCAGCTTTCATCTTCAAAGAGAAACACAAACCAAATCAGGCGTCTTGATGAATAGAATGCCAAAGCTTATAAAATGCTCAGCTAGCAATCTTGAGAGTTGCTGAAAGAGATGTGCAAAACTCCACTGTCAGAAATGAAATTGAAACAATGGGTGAAATTTGTCGAAAGAAGGCCATGTCACGCTAAATGGAGAATGGTTAAATCAAAAGAGACAAAAAGGAAGACGTGGACAGTAAGAAAACACTTGTCTAATGATAGGGATGGGATAAGGGATATAGAAAGCAGGGGACATAACTGGCTTCAGTGTCCAAACCGATGATGACATTCTGTCCGGGTTATGAGATGAACTTTGTATTTATTTATTGTTAAATCATATATATAAAACCCATTTCCACACATTAAAAGGAAGAGCAAAATATGCACACTATGACAGGGAAAACAAAAGGGAGAGTTTTTAAATACAGCTTTGCAATTCTGTGCAAAACATATAAGGAGGCCACCGAGTTTTAAGTTTGACAGAATCACATGTATTGTTATATTCTTCCCTGTTACATGGCTGTTTTCCTGTCCTCATGTTTTGAGAGCTATGATAGGCAAGTGATACAGCACTTTAGTTATCAAAACAGGTGTTATAGATTTAAGGGGGGAAACCCCCCTAAACCCTATAAATTAATGAATGCTAGGATTTTGATTATTTGGGATATAAAAGGAGAATGCAAGATGCAGAGGAGGTCCTGGGCTAGCTTCTGCAAAACAACCTGGCTGACCTAGGGCCACCAAAGAACAATAGAGGGTCATTCACAGTACAAGAGAACCCCCTCCCTCCCCTGAGGTGTTTGGAAGGTGGCCAGAAGAACTATGTGCTTGAGTTGACAGGGAAAGGGAGCTTGGGAGCAAGGGTTGATGGGAGGAGGGAGGAGGAAGAAGGTCTTAGATCCATCTTGAGCAGACTGCCTGAAGGCTGCCTGTGAGGCTGTGGGGGTACAAGCCCCTCTTGAAAGGACCATGCTGTAAGATCTGGACTCCCTCCATGCAGACTGAATGAATTCACCTACTCATTATAGGTGAATAAACCACATTTCTTAAAGCCACAACAGTCTCCATGGTGTCTCCAGTCTCCAAAGGACCACAGACTCTGTGTACCCCATGGGCTCTTGCTGCCACTTGGCAGAGAGAGGGGCAGGCACCCAACTTCTGTAACAATAAGTATAAAATGTGGGAATACACAGTGCCCCACAATTTCTCTGCTTTGCAAATTGCCAGAGTTAGACTTTTTTAAAAGGACTAAAAAGTATAAATATTTGTAGAACCTCAAATCTTAGAACAATAATAATCTGCATTCCTCAAAAAGGAATGAAGAATGAAATTTGGAAACTTACAAATGTAACATTATATTGAACACTTAATGTTATAATTATTTGGTGTGTTAAACATTGTGGCTTGGAAACTAATTTTTGAAAGGAGTTTTCCTATCTTCCCCTTTTCCCTGCAGCCCTCCAGTCTCACCCCTAATTCAGCCCTAATTAAACATGTGCTTAGCACACTCCTATGAAATAAACTGGAGTGCTTGATATCAGTGGGACTTACCGCATACTCAATAAAGTATGTTTCTCGGTTAATATAATGTTATGAGTAGGGTAGGTATGAAAGGAATGAATGAATGAATGAGTGATGAATGAATTAGTCCTTCTTGCTTGTTGCTTGTTAATCAATAAAGGGTTGTAATCTGAAGGGAATTGTGTCATTTTGTCTTTCTTGAAAATGCTCTGATAAAGGTAAAAAAGGACTTAACTGTTTTTCATGACATGCGCAAACCCTCCAAGTGTCCCTATTTTCCCGCTTTTCCTTAGGATATCCCTATTTTCATAAAATTAATGTTGGGATGTCCCTATTTTCACAGATGTCCCTATTTTCACTGGAGAAATGTTGGAGGGTATGGAGTTATGCCCCCCCAACACCCCCCCAAGAAGATAAGTAACTATACAACCTTTAGAAGACAGTTTAGGGGAAGGCAGTTTAGCGAAGTTTTTTTTAAAAAAATTAATGTTCTGTTATGTTTTTATATATGTTGGAAGCCACCCAGAGTGGCTGGGGCACTTTATAAATAATAAAGTTGTTGTTGTAGAATAGGACGTTTCTATTTTCATCTGAGTAATGTTGGAGGCTGTGTGTGTGTGAGAGAGAGAGAGAAACATGGGAATGTAATATTTTTAATAGCATTTGTATGTTACACAAGAGTAGAGGTGCTATATATTTTACAATATAATATCCCCATTAATAGTACAACACAATTATCTGAAAATACGCTTTTAAAAGAAAATGCATTGTGCCTAGGACTCTTCTTTCTTGAAATGAAGTAAATCTATTCATTTCACTTAGGTAACTTCAAGTTATGGGATGAAAGAATAGAGTCAATAAGGCTTCTCCATTTCTAATTTGTTCATTAGTCTTATCAATGCAGGTATTGTACCAGACTACCTTCATTTCCTGAAAAGCCTTTCAGCCTTTTCCTGTGCACTCTTGACTTTTCAACAGTAACCACTATGCTGGTGCTTTAAATATAGCTGGAAAATGCCATAACGAAAACAAAAAGAAAACAGAATATATATATATATATATATATATATATATATGATGAAGAACACTAGAGAAAGACTAAAATGTTAATTAATATAGTTTTGAATGTATGTGTCATTGAATGAACATGAAGTATTATGGGCTGTTACCAAGGAGGATCCCTGAATTATAATCAGTGAAAGGCATACTTATATTTTCAGGAAACCAGACCTAAAATCACTTGGAATGGTCTTCCTATGAGTTAACAAATTAAAAACAAGGGGCATTTAGCAGTGGACTGGTGTGTGTCTGCCTGGTGTTCCGTAATGCTACACTCAGGCAGTTTAACTTGATAGTACCTGCTCTCAGAACAAATGATTGATACCGTCTTCCAGCAGCACACATCCCCTGTTGTTGGACGCCATCAGCATGAATTTGTGAAAGTACTTTTCATCCTGCAGGTGTGTAGTAGTGGAAGTCTGCTTCTGTGAACCCATCAACATGGGTGGATCAGAATAAATAAATTCAAATCAGTCGCAGAATTACAATTGACTGCAATTATATTAGAACTTCAGTGAGTTTTGCTTTTCCTACAATTGCATTTCACTGTTATTTTATGTATAATGTGGCAAACGCAATGATTAAGATTGCAGGATGCAGTCACATATTAAGCTCAGTATTAGTTCTAACATGCTTTAGGTTGCATATACACTATACATTTAAAGCGCACACACCCTAAGGATCCTGAAAACTCTAGTTTCTTAAGGTGCTGGGAACTGTGGCTCTGGAGAGGGTAAATTACAGTTCACAATTTTTTTTGGGGGGGTGGTTTAAAAGTTTGGTCTATGTGCAGTTTTAGGTGTATATCTCTTTGTTATGAGAGTTGTATGAGAATCAATGTTACTTTACAGAATTCACATTATAGTTCCCACAGTAAAATAGTGTTTATCTGCCAAAAGATATGTAAAAACACATCTGTACCATCAAATATTAAAATACTAGCTTATAAATTGAGCAAACTAGGCTGAGCAAACTAGGCAAAAGTATACCAAAGTTTGTAGTTCCATAAATGCCACAGATATTTGTATATTTTAATATTATACTTAAAAATCAATAAACACATTCTACCTCCCCATAACAAGGAGAAGGGGGCGACAGAGGACGAGATGGTTGGACAGTGTTCTTGAAGCTACAAACATGAGTCTGACCAAACTGCGGGAGGCAGTGGAAGACAGGAGTGCCTGGCGTGCTCTGGTCCATGGGGTCACAAAGAGGCGGACACGACTAAACGACTAAACAACAACAACCACCTCCCCATACAGATGCATTATGTTTGGCTACAGTTGTATACGAACCCATTGTCTATATATACCTCAAGTTTTTCCAATACCATTTTTTCACCATTAGTGTGAAGTTCAGAATAATTATCCTGTAATGCACCTGATAGTATGCGGCTTTTCTGAAAATCATGTGAGTTCCTCTCTCAACTATCTCATCTTTAGATATTGGCATCGCTTACATTGTATCTTATGGTACCATTAAAAACCAGTAGTGACATTTAAAGGAATGAGAAAAATATTGAAAAGTGATTTAAAAAACCCCATTTAAGTGAAGACAAGTAAAGCCTTCCTTTCCTCTTCCCCTCCCCCCACAACCTCTCCGCTTCCTGGCCACAGGAAGAGATCCAGTGGAGGGGCTGGGAATCCTCCATTCAGGAGAGCACTAAAAATCGTTACAAGCAGTGATTTTTTTTTCCTAGAAAAATACTCAAGGTACTCACCATGAAGTTGTTACAGTAAGTATCACACTATTTAACAACAACAGAAAGAGATGCCAGTACTGCGAACTCTTGAGTACCCCCCGGGGAAAAAGCACGGGACCAGCACAGGAAAAAAAGAAAGTGCTGAGCAAATTGCAGGCATGGAAAGGTGAGTAGCAGAAAGTGGCAATTGATCCACCCACCCAAAAACACCAAAACAAATACCTAATCATAAACCCTCAGTAGAGCGGTTTGAGCCCAATTTCCCCAAATTTAGTAGATTACTCTCATATTGGGCAACCAAAAAAATACAGTGATACCTCGGGTTACATACGCTTCAGGTTACAGACTCCGCTAACCCAGAGATATTACCTCAGGTTAAGAACTTTGCTTCAGGATGAGAACAGAAATCGTGCTCCGGCGGTGCAGCAGCAGCAGGAGGCCCCATTAGCTAAAGTGGTGCTTCAGGTTAAGAACAGTTTCAGGTTAAGAACGGACCTCCGGAACGAATTAAGTACTTAACCCGAGGTACTACTGTATTGAGACTGGTAGTGTTGAAGGATTAATGCTATGCAGACTATACAAATTAAATGGGATTGCAAACAGCTGCAAACACACAGTAAACTCTGCTGTATAGAAATCCTAAGTGGCTAGCTAAAATTAAATGCCTGCCTCAATAAAGACGTCTTATCCTGGCCGTGAAAGCAAAACACAATGAAAGCTAGACAGATCTTCCAGGGCATGGTCACTGACCTTGCCCTCTCCCATGCTTCTACCAAATATACCAGTCTTCAGATAAAGGTGGGACATACAGGTCAGCTGACTTGGCAAGCACATAAGCAGTCCTTTAGGTATTCTGTTTCCAAGCCATTTAAGGCTGTAAAAGGCAAGACTGCTCCTTCCCCATATTACCAGAGCCAGGTCATGCAGGTGAAGCAGCCACCTGTGGCAGTCAAGGTACAAGAGGCAGTCAAGGTACAAGAGGCAGTACCCCGCTGGCCCCCAAAGCAGAAGTGGTAAGTGGTGGGGCGTGGCAGCGGCAGCAGGGTAAGTAGTGGCACATTCCCAATTCACTTCAGGTGGCAAAACGGGCCAGGCTGCATTATATACACAGTGAAGATGCAAAATATAACCAAGCAATCCGAAACACCACAACAGACTGCCAGGAGCCCACCAACTGGCATACTCCAGACCTCTGTACAGAGTCCCTAGCAGCGCAAACACACACAGCCTTCAAGCACCTTCTTTGCTGTTCACACAAACGTTGGGAGGCAAGGCTAGAAGCCATACTTTCCCCTTAAGACAGAGCAACTCCAACCACACAGCACTAGATAGGCAAAATACGCCTGAGAGGACTTTTGTAATCCCCCAGCATCTCAGCCTATGGACCCGGTTGTATAGACCAGGAGAGGGCTATAGGTTGAGCCACGGCCACATACAATAGAGCAGGTGTAGCGCACATGGGGGTACCAGTTCAAACAACGGATGCAGTCCTCTCTTCAGCCCCATAAAAGGTTGAGGACACCCCACATAGACCTGAAACTTTGTGGTGCCACAGCCAGAGGAGATGAAGCAGTAGTACTAATCCAGTAAATGCCTTGCTCTTAGATGCCTTTCACAGCTGTCACTGAAGAAACAATGAAGGGGGGTGGTTCACTTTTCAACACTGTCAACTTTTCTTTCTTTCTTTTTGCACAAATATCCTTCCTTTGATTCCTCCAAATAATAAGACCAGACCTAAAAATAAGTGATAATGCTTAGCTGTCATCACCATGACATCAAGTGACACAACTTCGCAGGAAAGAATCCAGAATGCACTCTTGCAGCTGATCAGCACCAATTGCAAATCCTGCTTTTGTTGGGGCTCAGCTGCACTCGTGTATTCACAATCAAAAACTCCCAAGTGCAGCCGAGCCCAATGGTGTTTTAGTCAACATTGATCAGCTGATCAGAGCTGTCTGCAAGCTCTACTGGGATTGGTTGCCCTGACTGGTTCTATTTTTCTAGAAAGATGCACTGTTGGGAAATGATGTAAGCAACACTCAGTGGGACTGGCTCCATTCAGGGTGCTGAAAACAAGCCCTCTTTGCCAAGGCACAATTGGGAGCACAATTGTTCCCCGATAGTTCCTCTGTAGCTGCACTTCACCTGGCATTATACTTACTTACTTACTTACTTACTTACTTACTTACTTTGCCAAACCTTTATTAGGCATTACAAATAGGTCATTATAAAACATCCATATATAAAATTTTAAAATATATACAAAAACAGCCATGTAAAATATGTAATAATGAGGATTTTCATTCGCATTTCTTCCTGCTAAATAGTGCTATTCACAACTCAAAGAGATACTGTTGGCAAAAACTCAGCCACCTGGCATTTTATATAACGTGGGGAAATGGCCTTGGGCCAAATTAGGACCTCTTCTTCCTTTTCATCCCTATTTTATATTAATGCTTTCTTAGTTTTGTTGCCAAGAGGCAAACATACTTAAACTTGATAAGGAAAATTAGTTAACATTTTCCAGACTCATTTTTCTTGTTTAACAAGAAAATGACTGGTATATCTAAGTATTATATGGCAATTGCTTTGTACTTCCCTGTAATTTGAGTGTCAAGGTTTAACCTACCCAAAAGAAATTAAGTGCAAAGAGAAATTCTATCTACTTCATATGTTGCATAGTCAGGTTTCCATGTGTCATGAACTCACTTTTTACTTGTTGTCATGCATCTGTCTGGAGAGACAATGGAAGCGTGTGCCATCAGGTGTAAAGTCAAACTGTTGGAGAGTTACAGCATTGCTGTGGCTGTAGAGACTGATACGGGAGAGACATGTTTTGTTGCAGCTGAGAAGATGAAGGCATCTAGCATCACTGTAAAAGATGCACCGTGACGTTTATTCTCTCTGGGATCCTCCCAGTGGTCATGTTGCTCTCACTAAGACACCATTTATGGGTTATATTTGCACTGTGGTTTCTACTGGAAAACTATGCCCACACATTGGGCATGCAAACCTATGCTCACACCTTGTATTGTTGGTTCAGTACTGACACAGGAAGTATCCATGACATGTAGATTACCATTAAGTCATGTGGATAGTTTGGTTGTCAGTTATTTCCTGTTCCAGTACTGCCACCATTGATGATGGCATTTGTAGTAAATCTCACATCATCTGGTGCGATTGTCTTTTCTCTGTGATACTGGTGTAACACGGGAGCCTCCTGGCCATCAATCTGTTGTGTTTGTTTGTTTGTTTTTTCTGGCAGTCATATTACAGGGACAATTTATCAGTTAGATCAAAGAGCAAATTCTAGACCTGTTCCCATGATCTTCTCAGCCTGGGTCTCACATAATTTGAAATTAGCATGCAAAACATTCCAAGATATTTTATTGCCTGAGACTAAGCAGTGAATGGTGCCCATCCCATGTCTAGGTATTTACATTTTGGTACCTCAGACAGAAAATCCCACTTACAATAAATATCTTTGCTGTCCTATCATTGCACACAAAATCAGTGGCCTGAGGTAAGTCGGAGGTAACTCTGTTAGGGTAATTCTAGGTCATGATAGTCAACCATCTTCCACCTATATCAGCCTCTAGCAAGAAGCTCCTGTGCATGTACAGGATTCATCTAGATTGGCTTTTGGCATGTATTACATCCACTCAACAGCTGAATCCTGCATGCCCCTGCAGTGTGTACATAACTGCCTCACCATGCTCTGATGATGCAAAACACAAAATGGCTGAAAACTGTGGCTAGAAGTGTTGCGACTCACCGACACCACTCCCTAATGTGCATTAATTTAGAGCCACCTGCAACATATGCTAGGAGATAAAATGGCTGTCGAATGAATGGCTTCAGTGTGCAATGAATTTATCAGGACTGATGCTGTAGTCAAATGGCAAGAATCCAATTTGTGAATCTGTAGTTATGGATGACTACAGCACATGGGGGGAAAGCGGGAAGATACAGGCAACATGGACTGTCACCTTTCATTACAGTCTTTTGAAAGCTGACAGCAAGTGCAGAATTTCTGCACTAATCACAGGACATTGGTCACTTTTGCACATTTTATCTCATAATTTATTTAATAGAATGTATACACTCCTTGACTGTAAAACCACCTTTAAACATCACACTAGAAGTTGAGAATTGGGGTGGGTATTAAACAGCCATGGCTTTGAGACTAGCAAATGCAGTATGTTCCATTTTACCCACCCATGTAGTTTATAACACAACATCCCTTCTCACAAAAGATTATCTGCCTGATCCAGTCCAGGAAACTCACACACTCTATCCTCATCTAATGCAAATTCTCCTTGTAGCTCCTATGTCATTTATTATTGACATTAGCATAGTGTTTTTATTGCCTAGCAACAGCAGATGGTTTACACAACACCAGCTTGCTATATATTTATAGATATGTAATGATGATACATACCATAACTGCTGCAGGTAGCTGTGCTAAATTAAGAGTTTCAGTTTGCCTTGTTTCAATCTTATGCTGTGTAACCTTATTTATTGTCAGTGTTTGACTCACAATATGATCACTGGTTATCACCAACAAACGATATTACAGAGGAAGGGCCATCCATCTGAAGAACTTGGTATCTTGCTAGAATCCTGAGAATCTGAACTGGTAGTTTAAAAATGCTTTCAATACAATTTCGTTAAGAAACAGGCTGATGATATGAGTGGAATTCAGTTGATGTCTTGTACATATGGTGAAATATACTCAGAGTCGCAAAGTGATTTCATGCTCTTTATTCAGCTCATAGTGGTGAGGAGGAATGAATGAATGTCTGAGGGGTCTGCTTTATATACATTATTTACACAATGGGCTGCGCATGATTGGCTAATTCTGGAATTCTACTGTAAGCCAATCAGGTTGTGGATTCACTTCTATCTGGAGCATGGATTGGGTGGCTCCTGCCAACCAATCATACTGCTGCATTGTTCTAAGACCAATCAGACTGCTGCATTCTGAATCCTATTGTTCTAGGACCAATCAGACTGCTGCCTTTTGGATCCTATTGTTCTAGGACCAATCAGACTGCTGCAGTTTGGATCCTATTCAATTCAGTACATAACACCCCTCCCCTCTAAGTTCCAGTCCTGCCCGGGAGGTCGCATTCATAGTCCTTGAGGTACGCCGGCGGCCTACGT